GGTGGATGGATGGGAGGGGGTGGGGTGGATGGAGGGAGGGAGGGAGGAATGGGGGGGTGGATGGATGGAGGGGTGTGGGGTGGATGGATGGGGGAGGGAGGGAAGGAGGGAGGAATGGGGGCGGATGGAGGGAAGGGTGGGGTGGATAGAGGGCGGTAGATGAATGGGACGGGGTGGGGTGGATGGAGGGAGGGAGGGAGGAATGGGGTGGATGGATGGGAGGGGGTGGGGTGGATGGATGGGAGGGAGGGAGGGAAGGGGGTGGATGGATGGGAGGGGTGGGGTGGATGGAGGGAGGGAGGGAGGAATGGGGGGATCGATGGATGGGAGGGGTGGGGTGGAGGGAGGGAGGGATGTGGGGAGGTGGAGGTATAAGATTTTCAGAACACAGTCCCCCCAGTGGCAGCTCTGCCCCACCCGCACCCACCCCACCTTTGTCCCCTGCCGGCTCCTGGCGCCATAACTGCTTTGTGCCCCTGACCCCATGGCCCTGCCCCTCTCTCCACCCCACGTCCTACTGCTGGAGGGCTGAAGGAAATGGACCAGAGCAGCTATCGCACTTTAAACACGCACCCTACCTGATCCCAGACACATCCACATGGAGACAACCCCCGGGACACCTCCAGGGGTTGTGAAATGGGGCCCGGGGCCTTTCCCCTCTAGGGGCGCCGGCTCCCATCCGGCCCCAGGGCAGGGACTGGCTGGCTCAGGGGGGCAGGGAATGGGGCCCGGGGCAATTGGCCATCATTTCACTGGATTCAATGAGCCCAGATGCCCAGCTGGGTGAATGTTTCCTGGTTGGGATGGTAACAGACCACAGCGCAGAACAGCTCCCCAGTGCTCTTGATCTCCAGTTTCACTCTTTCCAGCCAAGAGGTGCTTTAACTGGCCCCAGTCCCTTCTCCGGACCGCGCTCCACCCCTGCCCTCCCCCCAGACTGGAATTCAGCTGATGCCATCGGTCGCTGCTGCAGCATCAGAAAGAAGCGCAGAGACAGAACCCAAAACACTCCTGGAGACGCCCGAATACGTTCAACCGAAAGCCAGGGACAGAACCCAGGAGTCCTGGCTCCCAGCCCTGCTGCTCTAACCACTAGGCCCCACTCCCCTCCCAGAGCCAGGGACAGAACCCAGGAGTCCTGGCTCCCAGACCCCCCTGCGCAGAACCCGGGTGGGAAGCATGAGAGGGTGAGGGCATCTGGTTATTTATGAAACTCCAGCTGTGAAAAATTATCAGAGTCAAGGGGAGGTGGATGGAGGTGAAGGCTGAAAAGGGAGTGAGTGGGGGGGGGGGGAAGAAGATAGATAGATAGATAGATAGATAGATAGATAGAGTGGATGGGGATAGATAGGTGTTATTCGGGGTGGGTGGGGTGGATGGGGATAGGTAGATGGGTGTTTATGGGGGTGGGTGGATGGGGATAGGTAGGTGTTTATTGGGGTGGGCGGAGAGAGGCAGTGAATGGGGGATGGAAAGGAAGGAAGGGAGGGGGAGAGGAGGAAGGAGGGATGGAAGGAGGGATGGAAGGGAAGTGGAGGGAAGGAAGGGAGGGGGGAGGGAAGGAAGGAAAGGGCAAAGGAAGAGGAGGGGGGACGGGCCAGGCTCTCCTCACCTCCGGGCAGCTCGGCCGGGCCGCAGGTCGCCCTCTCCACCTCCATGTCCTCCACCCAGAGCTTCTTGTAGCAGAACTTCCAGAGGCCGTAGTGGGCGGCCTCGCACATGGCGCTGTGGTTCTGCTTGTAGGTGTTGAGCTCCACCCAGAACTCGGTGCCCACGGCCAGCACGGTCAGCGTCACCCCCACGATGGCCACGAAGAAGGCCAGCTTGATCTTGCCCTCCTGGGCATCGCTGAGGGCCGGGCGCCGCTTGCCGCCCACCCGGCCCCGCAAGCTACCCAAGCGCTCCTCCTCCTGGAGGAAAAAATTGGGCCACATCATCCTTCCTGGGTTTTACCCCTCTGATAACCCTAACCGTAACCCCTACCCCTAACCCTGCCCGGCCTTCCCCCCCTGCTCCGTTCCCCAGCCGCCTCGCGCGGACGCTCTGTGCCTCCGACCCGCAGGCTATTTAGGTCGGACGCCTGCTGCCGAGCTGACCCCCCGGCTGGCTGAGCGAGAGGCCGCCCGGTAGCTCACACCCGCGGCCCCGGTTGTAAATACGCCCCGCACCTGTTAGGAGCCATCACCCGTCTCCAGGGCGATAGAAGCTATTTTTAAGGCCTTGGGTGCGTGTGTTTTAAAGCGGCACATGCAGCGCTGGGAGCTGCCCACGGGCCCGCTCACCCGCGGCCAGCTCTCCTGCCCCCTGCCCCACAGAGCCCCTGAGAGCTCCCCTCACAGCCAGCCCTCCTGCCCCCTGCCCCACAGAGCCC